GGAGTGGGAGGGGGGGGCGGGGCGGCTGCAGCCCTCGACTGCCTGGCAGGCGGGGGGATACTAGCCAGGGAGACGCCCTACCTGGCCTGGCAGCCTAGTTTTCCAGGCACCAGCGTTTCAGCTCCCAGGGACTCGGGTCCATTCCCGGGAAACTTCCTCTTCAGGGAGCGGGCTGGGGTGCCCGTGTTCTCCGGGCAGGCGGCCACCGGTATCTCCGCCTTCCTGATGCTGCTGGGGAGAAGGGCTCCCTCTTTTATCCCCACCAGGTGCCGGCAGATGTCGGACGCTGGCCTGCCGCGGGGGCCGCCGATGCCCAGGGCTGGGTCTCTCTCCTTTTCCTGGGCCAGCCATTTCTCCTCCTCCTCCGGGAGCTGCACGGCTTTGTGGCCGGGGTCGGGAGATGGCTCCTCCCTGCCCCCTTTCGCCCACGGGAGACTTGCCTTCAGCACCGGCACCTTCAGCAGCCCTGCTTTTGGCGGCTCGCTGGGGGCTTGGGCAGGAGCGGGCACGGCAGCCGCGGCCGGAGCCTGGGCCTCCGCTTTGCCCGCCACGGCTTTGCTGTCGGCCGCGCCGAAGGCGTGTTCGAAGAGCAGGGGGTAGTAGAATCGCGGGAGGAAGGCCGATCGCTCAGGGGCCTGCAGGGGCTGGAAGTGGGCAGCGGGCGGGGGCATCAGCTGGGCGGTGGAGGCCAAGAAGGGCAGCTGGGCCAGGTGGGGGTGTGGGCTGGAGCTGCTGGCCACGGTAGGCTGGGTTTCAGTGGGTAGTTGATGCCCAGCAGAGAGAGGTTGAGGCCCTGCGGCTCCTGGTAGTCCCCGTAGGCCGGAGGGGGGAAGCAGGGGATGATGTTGCCTTCGGCGCATGGTAAGGAGACTTCAGGGGGGCCCCTCCTTTGCCCGTTGGCCACCAGCTTCCACTGCTCCATGAGGATCCCGCCGCTTCCCAGGCACTTTTTTGGCCCCTTGCCGTGCTTTGGCTCCGTCTCCCTGCCCTTCGGGGCGTGGCTCTTCAGGGAGAAAACATCCGTGATGATGAAGTCGGGCTCAGCCTCTCGGCCGGGCTTGTCCCTGAACCCGAAGAGCAGGGAGTCCGGCTCGGCGGGGTCCCCAGGGCCACCCGTCTCCTTCCCTTTCTCCTGCTTCTCCCCTGCGTCCATCTCCCCCAGCAGCCCGGCCACGTCTTCGTCCTCCTCTTGGAACTGGCCGGCCTCTGTGGCCGCCGCTTCCGAGGGCCGGGCATCCGCCGCTGCCACTGCCCTGTCGCCTTCGCCGCCCCCCTCCGGGGCCTGCTGGGGATTAGCTCCCGCCGCAGCCGAGGAATCGCAGGCCTCTGGCTCGTCCCTTTTCCCGCGGAGCCGGGACGCCTCCGTGGCCTGCAGGAGGCGGATCTCGGGGTGTAGCAGGTTCCCCTTCTTGTAGGGCCAGTCGGACTCGATGAGCAGGGAGAGCGAGTTCTTGCACAGGCTGTACTTCATGTGGTTGTACAGGTGGGACTTCTCCATGCACGTGAAAGGGCACTGGAAGCACTTGTAGTTGTACGGCTTCCCCCAGGGCCGGGGGATGTAATGGGGCTTCTTGGGCTTGCGCTCCTTGTGCTTGTAGACGGACGACAGCTTGCAGCTCACCTCCTCCTTCGACATGGCTGCGGGGCCGGGCGCGGCGTGGGCAGCGCCCAGCCGCCTCGGGTCTGGCTGGTGAAGGTCACGGCCCGGAGCCGTCGTGCACCCTGCAAGAGGACAACACAGAGGAGTCAGAGCTAGTGCAGAGAAGGGCTCTGGCCAAAGGAGCCTGGTCTGCTCAGGGGAACGTGGCTTACACAGCGGGTGTCCGGCCGTTCCCATGCCCTGCCTCTGCTGCGGCAGACTCCTGGGTGACTGAGGGGCCACGGAAAGCAGCCAGATTGCCACGCTAGTCCTGCACACGGCACTGGCTCAAACTCATCTCTGGGGCAGCTCCTTTGACGTCAATGGAGGATGGATTTGACCTAGTCACCTTACCGTCGCCTTCATGGACTCAGAGGTAAAAGCATCATGAAAACTAGCTGGTCGAGCTGCGCGTAGATTAGCAACACATCGCTCCTGGCTTGCTGTAACACAACATGTGTTTGTGCGACAACACAAGGGGACTTGGCAGACATACACCCCCTGGAGCAGGGATCGCCAGCAGCCCTTGCAATTTTGGCTCAGAAATGTAAAGTGAGCTCAGACAGTCTCAGCAAACAACACACGGACCATGTGCATGTACAACAGCGCATTTGCACACCCATTGTAACGTGAGATTGGAGCAGCCCAACGGTCCATCTAGCCCAAGGGCCTGGCTCTGACAGCGGCTAGTGCCAGGCACCCCAGAGGGAATGGACAGAACACGGCAATTTTGAGAGATCTAACCCCTGTCGTCCACCCTCAGCATCTGGCAGTTGGGGGTTTAAGCACACCCAGGGCATGGGGCTGCATCCCTGCCCATCTGGGCTAATAGCTATTGCTGGACCAGTCCTCCGGGGACTTTTCTAGTTCCTTTTTGACCCCAGTTATACTTTCTGGCCTTCCCGATATCCCCTGGCAAGGAGTTCCGCAGGCTGACAAGGCATTGTCAGAGGCGCTTTCTTTCCTTTGGCCTGTTCATTTCATGGGTTCACCCCCCGTTCCCGGGTTACTGGAAGGGGTCCAGTGACACTTTCCTATTCACTTTATCCCCTCCCCTCATGCTTTTACCCGCCGCTATCCTGTGGGGGATTGGAGGGGCAGCCCTGGCCTGGCATGCCCGGTGCAGTTTGACCACACAGAGCTGTGCTGCAGGGGCAAACGCACATGCCGTTTCTCTAAAGTCCAGTTCACCGATTTCACACGCTGAAGTCCCAGTGGGGAGTCACGCCCCTCTCCCCCCGTCCTGCAGGACGGCTGTGCAAACCCCAGGAGCAGTCCTGCTGGCTGTGCTGTGGAGATCAAGCACCGCAGTGACGCTGCTCACAGCCACGCTGCCTTGCTCCTCAGCGAGGTGCCCGGCCAGTGCCTTTGGCACCTTCTCAGCAGCCAGCAGAGTGGGAGACACAAAACCAGCATCAGCACACGGAGCGGTGAAATTCCATCAGCTCCTCTGATTCCCACAGGGCTCTGCACACTCCAGGGCGGGTGCGCAGTCAGCCTCCGAGCCGCCCGCCTTCCCTTGTGCCGGGTTCCACACCGTCTGCTTTCCTTCCACTCACACCAGAAAATAAATCCCTCCCAGCGGCTCTGGGAAAGTCCCTTTTCCAAACGGCAGCAGATCTGTGTGTCTCGGCTACCTGCTGCTCCGGCCTGAGTCCTCCCAGTCACGTAGCGGACCCCACACCATGGTGCCCACCGCCATTTTACAGAGGGGAGCTAAGACACGAAGAGGCAGGGTCTGCAGATGCCCTGAGGTCGATGCTCTAGTAAGGACCCATGAACTCGACCGTTGCCCCGCACTCCACGGGGCTGTGAGGAGTAAGGGAAGTCAACGGGAGCGTCCCTTCCATCCACCTCCTGCTGTGGAGATGCCTCAAATTCGAGGGAGGGTCTGTGGACCCCAGCGAGGCTGTTCTGGTGGCTGGGGTTGTGTTTCTAGGTCGACTTCCTCCCGTCGTGGGGACCTGGCCTGGGGGAGCTGCTTTGCCTTTGCTAAGAGCTGGATTGAGCGCGCCGCTCCCCTCGCAGATACCAAACACCGACTCGGCCTGCGTGGCCAACGGGAACCAGGGCCTAGATTTGCAAGAGTGGCCAGAGATTGTGTCCCTGGAAGGGGGCTGTCAGAGTGCTCAGCACCTGGCCTCGGATGCGCCAGACGACTGCCCCCTTTATCACTGGTCACGTATAGAGCCAGAGTCTGCCTGGGTCTCCTTGCCTGCCCCGGAGCCAGCCGCTGCAACAGGCTGGCTTCCATGACCCAAGTCTGGCAGTGACCATGGGGAAAGGGACCTTCTGCAGCGGGAAGCCCCCGGGACACCTAGTGAAACCAACTGGCTTGGCTTCCAGGGGCCCGATCCTGCCCCGGGACCACACAAGAGGCTGCTCCTGCCATGGGTGGGAGGCACCCGGGCTGCTCCGAAGGCAGATTTGACCCCCTGGTGGTGCAGAGGGAGGCAGAGCCCCCCAGCAGGAGCAGCTGCCTTCCTACCGGCGGCCACGGCCCGTGGGACCTGTCAGGCTCGTGGAGTCTGTGGCACGGGCGCGGGCTGCCGCACTCAGCGCCGCAAATGGGAGCCGGCGGCCCTGGGAGGAGGAGGAGGAAGCTGCTTCTCCAGGTTGCCAGGGACGCGAGCAGCCGGAGCCATTAGGAGACGCAATCTGCTCTGCTCCTGTCACTGGACCTTGAGGAGCCCTGTGGGGGGGATGGGAAAAGGGTTTGCAGCAGGAAACCTGCCCCTCCAAAGCGGCATTGGGACTCCCCTGCAAACCGGCCCCTGCTGAGGCGCTTCCTGAGGCACGTTCCTGGCCCGCACAGCACACAGGCCAGGCTGCGGCAATGGGAGCTTGCAGGCCGTCCTGGGACCCTGGGACGCCTGCTTCGCAGAGAGCGCTGCGTGCCTGCCAGGGCAGAATCAACCCTGTGGCTCCCTAAGGAGGCCTTTCCTTCCCTCCTTCCTCCCTGCTGCCACAGTTACAGAGGGGGATGTGACGGAGTGGGGGGCTGTCTGCTCTGGAACCCGGTGCCCCCCTGCGCGGTGAGGTGAGATTCCCACTGACTCATCCACACGAGGTGATGTAGTGTCAGCTCCTTGCTGGTTGCTGTGCTTAGGCTGTGGATGACCCCTACCGGCCTCTGCCTGTGAGCACTGCCCAGCAGGTGGGCTGCCTAGGTCACGGAGACAAGAACCCAACCGGTCAGACCGGTTGAGGGCAGCAAGGGAACTAAGGAAGTGAGTGTGCGGGGGAAGGGGCAGTTGCTGGCTGGAAACATGAAGGGAAGAGCCTTAGCTGAGGCCTGAGAGTCTAGGGGGGTGACAATGGACCCCCCTAATCCAGAGTTAATTGTATTAAATCAACTTGGTGAAAAAATTGTCCGAAAATGCCGATATTGATGGCTTGTACAAAAATGACTTGACATTTTTTTAAATTAAGACTTGAGACTCGACTTAGGACTTAACTCGAAAGTGACTTTAGGGACTCGAGACTTGACTTGAGACTTGAACTGTAGTGACTTGAGACTCGACTTGGACTTGACAATGATGATTTAAGACAACACTGCCCTAATCCAAGGGGGGGGCTGAGGCATCCTGGCCCTAACTCCTGAAATTGCATCACGTCTATGCTGTGCTGTATCCCGGAGCAGCAATAAACCTTCTGTATTCTACTGGCTCGTGGAGTCTATTCTTGCTGCTACAGGGGTGCATGATCAGGGGACCCCCAACTCGTCATCACGGGGCGTTCCAGCTGATCGTTTGCACTGACAGCTGCTGCTCGCAATGGTCATGCCCCTCAGGTGAAGTTTCAACACAGGTGGGATTCATGCTCCCCCACCACTCGCCCCCTGGCCACCCTCCACTCCCAGTTGGTGCCGTCTATACGGTCTTTGGATGCGGGGCAGAATCTGCCCACCGCTTTTCCAGCACCCTGCTCGAATGGCAAGACCACCCGGGCACCCGGCAGGAAGGTGAGTCCCACTGACTCCTTCCCAGACATGGCGGCCATTCCCACAGCCACCTGGGCCAGAGGACTGGGCCTGCAGGGCGGACACGAGCAATGGCAGTAGATGGAGCCATAGGAAAACCACCTCCTGTTTTCACAGAGAGGAAGAGGTTTAAGGCTTAAGCAGAGACATCGCTGTCTGCAAAGCCAGGTTCCGTTCCTGGCTCCCCCCACCAGTCACTCCCTGGGACTTTGGGCAAATCCATCAACTTCTCCACCTGTCCCAGGGGCTAATAATCCCGGTCTAGCGCTCAGCGAGGAGCAGGCGGGGGCTAACGCAGGGACTCTTGTAAAGCACGTGGCTGCCTGAGACAGAAGCTGCCCTGGGTCAGAAGAAGACAAGTCAAAGAGAGGAGGAGGAGAAACGCAGACCATATAACAAGTTGCAAGCTTTCTGGGCTGTGGCTTGGTCCTTAACCTCTGGGTGTGAAGATCCACCCCTCTTTGTAACTCCACCCGTGCTGCCGTCTGAGAGAGTCACCGTGTGGCGAGCACAAGGCCGAGGGGTCAGGCATCGGGGGAGGAAAGCACCGTTCGGATTTCTCTGAGCTGTCCAGACCTCAGTGTGGGCTGGGAGCCCTGCGAGGCGGCACAGCGAGGGCGGCTGTGGTCCTTAACCTCTGGGTGTGAAGATCCACCCCTCTTTGTAACTCCACCCGTGCTGCCGTCTGAGAGAGTCACCGTGTGGCGAGCACAAGGCCGAGGGGTCAGGCATCGGGGGAGGAAAGCACCGTTCGGATTTCTCTGAGCTGTCCAGACCTCAGTGTGGGCTGGGAGCCCTGCGAGGCGGCACAGCGAGGGCGGCTGTTTCGGCTGGCACTCTTGCTTGCCGCCCCAAATAACAGAAC